ATTGGTAGAAATTCGAGTTTATAGGCACGTTTATAAGGTACCACAGGGGAAGTACAAAAACCAGCATGAAAACAAGAGCTGAATGCCATGTTGCACAATTGCCGCGCGCACAACACCGCTTGCATAGTATTATACCGCTTGCACAAGATCGCCACGTCATATCGAACTTCCTCCTTCTTCTCTTCTCTTTCTTCGATTTAACAGGCACACGTGTGTTATAGTCCCACCACTTAAGGGGTACTCGCCGTTCAAACTGAGCCCTGAGTTATAACAGTAGCGTCAACATCGCGTCTTGACTCCATGTTATCGGCGTAGGTGACGTGGGTTGATCTCCATGACGTTTGCTGATGGGCGTGGGGTGAATCCCATGGTTTGAGTCAAAGCTCTCGCATGTCATCGGAGTCAATGCGCCACATTGGCTGCAACCCTGAGAGAGAGTGCCCCCCGCTACTGCATACCTACGACCCCTACCAAAGCAGTTTGATTGGCATCAAATCACCTCGCATGGTAAGCAACGCCCTATGTCTACTGATGGCACCCGACGCAAGTATCCATGGGTATCCTCCTCCGTCATAGATGCAACGTCCGCTTGCGCTGCCGTGTGCATGGCGGACGCAGGGACGGGTTGGGTGTCGACTAGCTACATGACACCAACTTCAGTAGCAAGAGCGTCCGGTCCATGCACATCACCGAGCGACATGGCGGCGGCCGCCGGCCTGTCAAAATCACCAAGCGACTTGGGTGGCACGAGACACAGAAGATACTACTGGCACACGGAGCGGGTGGGCAAAAATAGTCGAAAATGTATAAATTTAGCTTTGCCGTCTTTGAATAGATATCGGTTGAGCAACCATTGCGCGATTGCCAGAGAATGGACCAGGTCGGCGCCAAGGCGAAGAGGGCCGAGGTCCAGCCCGTCTGCGTGCGGCGGGCGTCCTTCGCCGCCTTGCCCGAGATCCCTGCGATCGACGGCACGATCCCGCGCGTGCGCACCGACATGAACTTCAAGGGCCTCCAAGACCCGTACTCGGAGTGCCACCAAGTGCTCACGAGCTCGCTCAACGCCGCATCCATCGACACGATGCTGAGCGGCGGCCTCAAGAATTTCTTTGAAAAGTACAACCGACTCGCCGAGACGACGAATCTGCAGCTGCAGACGCCCGAAATCCGCTTCTCCAACCTCTCGTTTTCGGCGCAGTCGAGCGCCAACTCGCTCGCGTCTGGGACCGTGGGCAGCTACCTCCGGCAGCTCTTCTTCCCGTTCTGCTGCAAGCCGCCGAGCGTCGAGAAGAATGTGCTGCACCCGATGTCGGGCGCGATTCCGCCGGGAAGCATGACCTTGGTAACATGCATTGGCATAAAACACTCGGTTCTGATGGGATATGATAGCTTTTGGCGAGCCCGGGCTCGGGCAAGACGTCGTTCCTTAAGGCGCTTGCGAATAAACTGCCGACCAAGAACACGAAAATCGGCGGCAGCGTCTCGTACAGTGGACTGACGTGCAACCAGATCGACCTCCGCAAGCTCGTGGGGCTCGTCGACCAGCGCGACAACCACATCGCGACCATGACCGTGCGCGAGACGCTCAAGTTTGCCGATCTCTGCCTCAACGGTCGCCCGAAGAAGAAGTCGGGGTCGCAGTCCCCGACCAAGGCCGAAGAAAAGATGGCCGACGTGGCCAACCTGCGAACCGACCTCTACTTGCACATCCTCGGCCTCTCCAACTGCGCCGACACGGTAGCTTCCCCGTATGTTGAGCTTTCGTCGTCATGGTGGATGCCATCGCGTAGATTGTCGGCGATGACATGCTGCGGGGTGTGAGTGGCGGCGAGCGCAAGCGTGTGACCGTGGGTGAGATGCTTGTCGGCGGCCAAAGCATTTTCCTCTGTGACGAGATCAGCACGGGTCTGGACTCGGCCGCCACCTTTGACATTGTCAACGCACTCAAGACATGGACCAAGTCACTGGGCGGTAGCTGCATTGTAGCCTTGTTGCAGCCACCTCCCGAGGTCGTCGAGCTCTTTGACGACATCTTGATGCTCTCGGACGGGCATCTGGTACGGCTCCTAGCACTTGGATATTAGATCCAGAGACCATCTGGCGCCAACATCTGGCAACACATCTGATGGCGACATGTGGGTAGGTGTACCACGGTCCGCGGACGTCGACGCTGCCGTACTTTCAGTCGCTCGGGTTTGTGTGCCCGGCGCGCACCGACCCGTCGATCTTCATGCTCGAAGTCGTTGCGGGCAGCGGGACCAAGTACTTCAACCCTGGTATCAACTTGATATTGTACCGAACGATGGATTTGAGCCTCCGACTAGAGCACCCGACACCGGCGCCGACAACGTCCAAGGCGTTCGGGAGGCTTTCGCAGCGTCTCCAATGCACGCAGCCGTGCGCATGTGGCTCAAGAACAGCAACCTCCAGTACGACGTGACCAGCGTCAAGCGCCTCGCGTTTCTCGCGCGCAGGACGACACAGTTCAGCCTCGCGTTCTGGGACAGCACCAAATTGCTCATGGCGCGCCAAGTGGTCTTCTGGGTCCGCGACAAAGAGCTGCTCTACGGCAAGCTTATCGAGGCGTGCGTCGAGGGGTTGCTGCTCGGCATCATCTACCTCAACTGCGACGCGTCGCTGTATTTGCGCATGCTCTTTTTTCACGATTGCGATTTTTCTGGTATTGTCTCTAATTTTTTCTTGTTCAAGGGTGTCTGACAGGGTTGGCATCTCGTAGCGCCACGCGTGGCAGCGCATTACGATCTCTCTCGCCGTGCGCAACGTGTTTTACAAGCAGCGGTCGCGCAACTTCTTCCGAACCTCGTCGTACGCGATCGCCGAGGCGGTGGTCCAGATCCCCATCAACCTCGTCGTTGCAATTGTGCTCGGCACGATCTTCTACTTTATGAGCGGCCTCGCGCACGAGACGTCCGTGTACTTTACGTACCTCGCCGTCCTCGTCGTCTTCCAGCACGTCATTGCCGCGTACTTTACGCTGCTAAGCTCGATCGCGCCGACGGTCACGATCGCGCAGTCGTTCGCGGCCTGCTCGATCGTCTTCTTCATTCTCTTTTCGGGCAACATTGTGCTCTACGACCTCATTCCGACGTATTGGACCTGGATGTACTGGTGCAACCCGCTCACGTGGGCGCTCCGGGCCATCATGCTCAACGAGTACAGCAGCACGCGCTACTCGATCGACGAACGCGCCGACAAGCTCGATATGTTTGAGATCCGCCAAGACAACGAGTACATTGGGTACGGCCTCCTTGTGCTCCTTGGCTACTACTTCTTCTTTACGACGCTCAACGCCCTCGCGCTCCATTTTGTCCGGTTTGACACGCAAGTCCGGGCGACGTCGCCCCCCGCGGCGCCCCCCGCCGATGCCGCCACCGTGCTCACGATCGAGACGGCGCCGACGCAGCTCCCGTTCTACCCTGCCCGCATCGCGGTTCGCGATTTGGACTACTTTGTGAAGATGCCGACGGGCGAAGAGAGACAGCTTCTACAGCACATCACCGCGTCGTTTGAGCCGGGCACGATGACGGCGCTCATGGGCTCGTCCGGCGCCGGCAAGACGACGTTCATGGACGTACTCGCGGGCCGCAAGACGGGCGGCCGCATCGCCGGCGACATCTACATCAACGGCGAGCCGAAAAACCCCGCGACGTTTAGCTGTATTGCCAGCTACTGCGAGCAGATGGACATCCACTCGGAGAAGGCGACGATCCGTGAAGCGCTCGAGTTCTCGGCGTTTCTGCGGCTGCCGCAGACGTTCGAGTACGATGCCAAGCTGAGCTTGGTGCGCGAGACCTTGACGCTTCTCGAGCTCGACAAGATAGCCCACGAACGCATCCTCAACCTCAGCGTCGAACAGAAGAAGCGCGTCACGATCGGTGTCGAAGTGGTGGCCAACCCGAGCATCTTGTTTTTGGACGAACCGACCTCGGGGCTAGACGCGCGCTCGGCGCAGTTCGTCATGCGCGGCGTCCAGTCGATCGCGCGCACGGGTCGCACGGTCATTTGCACGATCCACCAGCCGAGCATCCAGATCTTTGAGCTTTTCGACTCGCTTTTGCTGCTTCAAAAAGGCGGCCGCATCGCTTTCTATGGGGAGCTCGGCGCCGACTCGCAGAAGCTGCTCGAGTACTTTCACTCAATTCCGGGCACCGAGAAGATCCATCCGCTCTACAACCCAGCGACATACATGCTCGAGGTCATTGGCGCCGGCGTGGGCCGCAAGGACATCAAGAACTACGCGGATGTCTATGCGAGCAGCGACCTCTGCGCGGCCAACCGTGTGAAAGTCGAGCGACTGCTCGCACCATCGCCCGATCTCGTCATGTTTTCGACGCTGGCGTTCCAGCCGATCGCGACGAGCCTCTTGAACCAGACGCGCTGGCTGGCGCACCGAGCGGTGCTCATGTACTGGCGCAGTCCCGCATACAACTTTGTGCGGCTCGTGTCGTACCCGGTCTTTGCCGTCATATTTGGGAGCACGTTCTACAAGCTGCCGTTTGGCACGATGGCGCACGTGACGTCGCATGTACACTATTGTCTGCAGTTTGACTGACAAACTGATGTCTCTGTGTAGATCGGACTGATCTACAACGTTATGGACTTTATTGGCGTCATCAACATGATGACCGTGCTGGACATGGCGAGCACGGAGCGCCCCGTGTTTTACCGCGAGCGCATGTCCAACTACTACAGCCCGCTGCCGTACACGCTCTCGCTGCTACTGGCCGAGATCCCGTACCTCGTGGTCGTCAACCTCAGCTTCGTCGCGATCGTCTACTGGCTGGTCGGCTGGTACCACGACGCCGCGACGTTCTTCTTCTTCTGGTTCATCTACTTCGTGTACACGTCGTTGTGTACCTTCATGGGCATGTGGATGGCCGTACTCATGCCCAACATCAAGGTGGCCAACGTCGCCGTCGGCGCAACGTCCTGCATCGTGAACCTCTTTGGCGGCTTCCTCCTTCCGTTCGTGCAAATGAAGTGGGGCTACAAATGGCTCACGTGGATCATCCCCTCGAGCTACTCGCTCAACGTTCTCGTCGGACTCGTGGTCGCGCGCTGCGAGGATGGCGTCGGCCCCGGCTGCAAATTGATCCTCGTCGGCGGCAAGCCCGCAACGGTCGAGTCGTACGTCATTTCAAAATTCGGGTTCGACCCGGCCGAGATCTACTCGAGCAGCGGTGCGCTCCTCCTCGAGTGGGCACTCATCCAAGTGTTTATCTACCTGACCCTGCGCTTTCTGTGCCACCTCAAGCGCTAGATGCATGAATAACACCACACATGACATGATATATTAACATTCGCCCTCGTCGAGCAAAATAAGAAGCGACATAAAAAGCGAACACAGGGGGCGACCTGCACGCGACTGTCGGCGACGAAATTGCAGTGTTGACTGCGAACCGAAACGCATGAGAATTGATCGTTTATGTTGGCAAAACGGAAATGGAGCAAACATTCCTGGACGTTGTCGAAGTTGGCGACTCAACTGATCATACCTATGCCACCGTGGTTTCGGAGATTCGCGACGGGGGGCATGGTCAGCTTCATGCTGCGCAACCTCAAAACGATGGAATCGCCGACTACGCTGCATGCCTTTCTTCTCGTTGGCGCATTTTTCTCGTGGCGCTGTTGTCATCAAGACGTGTATCTCTCTTGCCGAATACGGAGTCCAGAGGGACACGTTGTATGCATAGTACGATTTAACGATAACATCTTATGATTTGTTTTGAATCGTTGGCATCCGTCGTGAGCAGTGGCAAAGCCATGGGCGTATCGACCTCCGCGAGCCGATGTGTCATATTCGATCCAAGCATAACCGAGCCCCAGTAGTGGGTCATCTGGGGCTTCCATATGCATCCATAGGTGACTGCAAGACGACGCGACCCGCGATGCCAAAGTCGTTCCGGGGAAAACGATGATCGGGTGTCTCGAAAACTCCTCCACACACGGGCAATTACGGGCAGAAAACATGTCCCGCAGCATGACGCTGCCGCGTCCACACTTCGATAGTTGCTTGCATTTGAAGGAAATGAAGTTGATTGGTACATTATCAAACACGACACGAGACAGAGGCGGAGAGGAACGCGATTACTTCTTGATCGGGCACGAGCCGTTGACCGTACCCTTGCCGCCGGCAATGCGGTAGCACTTGGTCGACGGGTACACAGACATAAAGTTGGTCGTGACCGAAAACGTCAGCGCAATGAAGAAAATCGCGACGAGGAGCGCACCCGCAAGCTTGCTCGTCTGGCCACGCTTCTTCAGCTCTTGCATGGCTTCCTTCTGCGGCGGGAGGAGGAAGAGCCAGCCAAGCGCCGCCAGCTTGCACGCATACGAGATGAAGTAGCAGTACGTGACCTCCCAGCGGACGTGGTTGTCATCTTCCGCCATCTGGTCCATGGACACATCAAAGTACGAGTCGATGAGCTTGTAGATGACCGACGCGAACGGTGACGCGAGGTTCGAGATCGTCGTCACGAGACCGTAAGTGGCACCCTCGTTACCAATGTCGGCGATCTCGACGGCGCAGTAGGTGGCCACGATGAAGCGGATACCAGCGGGGACGTTGTCGGCAAGCGGGACGCCCGTGAAGAACCACTGGTTGCGGAAAACGTCCCAGATCGTGACGAAGATGACAATGCCATCAATGAGGATGATACC